CCCCTCTGCTGCCTCTCCGCCCACGTCGCCCGCTGCTTGCATGTTGTCTTTCACCAGCGTCGCCTTGAAGTTGTTCTTCTTACACACCGCTTCCAGCACCTTTTAGAGGGAGGGGAGGGGGGAAACACTTATCGACGTGTCACGGCGGTAGAGTTTTTGTATGCACCGAGCGCGGGGGGTTGCTGAACCTAGAACGCACGGAGAAAAGCGCTTTCTTCAGGGGAGGCAGGCCTACCCGGTAGCGTTGTGAGCAATTGAAACACACGGGCCCGTTCTTAAGGCTCGTAGGCTTTTGTATCACTCAACTCAAGGCTTAAGGGCCTGGCCTATCTAGGACCTGTTTCGAGAGTAATGCAGAAGAAGAAGAGCTGTGAAGGGAGGGGCCCAACCTCGTGAATATCATCCGTTCTCCCCGGAAGAGAAAGCCCTTTGACGTACTTCACCTGAGTGGGAAGCCATTCGGAGTCAACTCTCTCGAGTCAAATCGGTAGCGTCAAACCGCCGGAGTCACATCGCTGCAGGACGGATAGTGGGAAGCGAGAAGGCTCGCGGCTGGGATGGCTCGCTCTCCGCGATTCGGCCCAGGAACATTCGATGCTTCAAACAAAGCCGAGCCAGCCTGTGGAAAGGCTTGGTGTCCGTCTACGGTTGGAGTTCTCGAAACCTCACGGACCTAAAGGAAGGCAGGCACGCTGGCAGTCACACGCGGCCAGTCACGCGCTTCTGTCTACCACTGTTCCGAGGCGGGCTCGTCTTAAGGCTCATAGAGTTTTGAATCACTCATCGCTAGGCTTGAAAGGAATAAAGAAGAACAGTGACGCGGTTGGTTGCAGCATGTCAGGCAGGCAACGACACACTGAGTGTCACGCGGGTGCTTGCAGGGTGGCTGGGAAGGTGGCAGGTTGGCGGGCAGGTGCCTGGTCGCGGAGGTTGAAAAGGTAGAGAAGGTAGTCGCAAAGCACCACAGGATCCACGAGCGTGTGCTTGATCGCCCCCGTCACCGCCAGCTTCAACCCTGGGGGCCACGCCAGGTCATTAGTGGGAATTTCAAAAAGCAACGTTTCGTTTTCGTGGTACAAAATGAATGTGCCCAGAACTTGGAACACGCGATTCCTCGTCCAAGCTTCAAGGTTTCCACGTCCGCGCGGTATCAAATTAACAATGAGACTTGTAACTGAAATTCCGACTTACGACCTGGCGTGGGAAAACCTGCTTCAATAAATTGCCAAACACGACCGCTACACGCCAGGAGGCAAGGTGAGACGAGACGTACCGGCTCTAGCTGCCCGCGACCACCAAGGGTGCATCGTTCACTGCAACGTCTTGCCCACAAAACCGTACACCGTAAATCATAAGCACCCTAAGGGTGGGGGAGGGGAGGAAAGCGTATCGCGCACCTTGATTGTGCGTCAGCTTCGGGGTCATGACGCCTGGTTCAGGGTTTAGGGTTTAGGGTTTAGGGTTGAGTGTTTAGTGTTTAGTGTTTAGTGTTTAGGGCTTGGGGTTCAGGGTTCAGGATTTAGGGTGTAGGGTGTAGGGTGTAGGGTGTAGGGTTTAGGGTTGAGGGCTACCTGGGGTGTCGATGAGGAAGGAGGGAGGTTCTTGGCAGAACTGGATGGTCGCGACGTGGCGCGTCACGCCCGGCCGCGCGCCCGTGATCGCCACGTTGGGCCGCGCGGCTTCCCCTCTGCGAAACACAGTGTCAAATTAATATAATTTCAAATAAATTACGAATGAAATTAAGCACGGATACCCCTC